CCCAAGAGTTGGCGGTGGGTGGTGATGACTAGCTGCCTTCCCTCTAGTCTTACACTGCTAAATTAGGGACGACTGGCGCAGATAGCCCTCGTGTAACTTTGCGCGAAATCCATAACAAACAAACAAACTGAAATGTATTTATTCTTTAATGACATTTATTCTTGATGGTTTATGCAGTATTTAGTTCTTGCGTTTATTTTTTTAAAGATTAGCTTGAAAATTGGATTATGTAGCTAATGCGGGTATTTTTTAATAAAACTCTTAATTTTTATTCAGTTTCTAAACCATTAATCTGGCATGTCGCATCGTTAAAAGATACACATCAAAATCAAGAGATACATATATTTATTATTTTCTTGAATGTTCAGATAACTGGCAATCATTGACTTCATTAGCAATTGAAATCTAGAAGATTTCGTGCAGAGTAATGAAGTTTCTAGAAATTTCAAGTTTGTAACTTGTATAAAAACATAATAACTCTTGTATGCACTATACAACTGTAAAACCTGATGAGATCTGGATAACTGGAGTAATTTAAATATTGAAAATCCATGCAGAACAATGGTGTTTTTATAGATATATAAAATGTGCAAAGACCAAAGAGCCACAATATCTACAACAAGATTGATGACTAGAAGAACCCTGGTGTTGAACAAAACACTTCGTTGACTTGCACTATATTATACGCCATTCTTAGTTGAAACTAAGTAAGAAAATTACGATGTTTTATTTCGTACATCCTAAGAATGTATAGTATTTACTTATTATTTACTACCAAGACAAACTGATAATGAGGTAAAGCATGCATCACGTGCATACTTGTTTCTTCTGTTATTGTTTTTACAATTTGTCACTTCTAGCTTGACTTTAGCATTAAATGCTACTGAATGACCTAATATCGATGGAATCAATATTACTGACAACTTTGTCATTTTGCAGACAAGTAGAAAGTGCCCTATCAGATTTAACGTTAGAATTCGACAATACTTTCTCTAGAGGAAGACACTATAAGCTGGAAGTGAAATTTTCAATTTTAACGTCACTTTATGCCCACGTGAACTTTAGAGACCTCCAGGGTTCCCGTTTAATTTGAACTATTAGCCAGAAGGATGGTGGTCAGGTAGGAGTATTTGTCGCCACAAGAGCTTATTCGGCTCTTTGAATCAAATAACAAAATTGACTGTTACTTTTATAACACGATGATAGTTTAATTAAAGAGTGAAGTGTGTTTAGCGGCATCATGGCTCGAATCTTGGACTTCTTTATTCTAAGTGCGGCACACCAACCACTAAATAATTCGTTGCCTTATTGTCACGTAGCCAAACAAACTCTACCTAACAGTTACATAGAGTCAGTTCATTGTTTAAGCAATTATTTTTCACTGGGTGACGGACAAGGTAAAGATAAAAAACTCGGTTTTTAAAAGCTACTGGACAAGCCATAAACAACAGAAATTTGAGAATACCATTCATGAATTAACAGAGAAATAAGGTATTTTAGAGAAACAAGAAACGTATTCAATGAACTTTTTAAAGTTTTGTTTCATTATCAATGAAAGTTATACGACGAAAATTGAGATTAACATAACTCAAATGAATAAACAAAATGAAGTATGAAAATATTTTACTTTAAATGCTGATTGGATGCTGGGTTAAGTTGTAGAAAAACTGACCCACTTGTTTTCCTCAAGTGCTTTATTTTTTTCTGCTATCACCTCTTTGACTCAAACTACACACAACTTGCTACAGGACCCCCCCCCCTTTTTTTTATTCCCCGCCTTTTTGTTTCTGTCTCTTTCATAATAGACGATAGTCAGCTTTCAAAATACCTTATTTTGCTTGATTTCCAGATCCAGAATTCCACAATCTCCATGAAGGAGAACAGTAGTTATACCTCCTGAGTGTCCCGGTGTATGCCAAAATTTCCAACTTTCCATCTTTCGTACAACAGTATCACACATTGCTGATAACTGATTGTACATCTTTGTTGAGTGCTGGATTTTTTGTTTTGGATATGGATGATTCCTTAATCCTTCTAGTTATCTATGTCTTTCCCTTGTCAATAATTATGGAACTGTTCCAGTCGACGAGAAGTCCTGTAGCGATAGGATGTCCAACAATGGTTTTCGTTACATTCTGTGTTGTTCAAGATATCAGCTTTTATTTTCTGTGTATGATGTTTTACACAATCACAGGGTTTCATGAATATCTTTATATATTGTAAGGTAATTAAAAGGATGCTAAACATGGCTTAATATGCTTTATCACATCTGTCCAGCTATGAACAGAACTTGAAAGCACAATTTTCTGTATCTTCTGAAAATTATGTAAAATTTTCTGTAAACCTTTTGAATATTTTAACTAATTTTTGGAATGAACGAAACTGTTATCCTATCTCGTGGTTCTAACTGTTTCTTTGGTACTTTGTTCATTCTGTGGTCTTTCTAATAGGAATTATCGAACTAAACTACTTCCTCATGAACAAACGGCAGCGAAATATTTCGAATAAGTAACCCTTCTCATGCATAATTAGGATCTGAAGGGAGTTTTTAACGATAAACAGGTAATTCAATTCGTTCATGTTATGTATTATTTCGACTACGAATGCTAAAATAAATTATTTTCATCACATAACGAAGTATAAAATAAAACCAGTCAGACTTGTTTTTACCACTGCTTGTAAGTTATTTTCTAACTTCTCTCAAAGTATTTTACTCAGTTCGATATAACTAATGCAACGTTTATAAAGAGCACATAAAGTCAGCAACAGACATTTTACGCTCTCAATTATAAAGAAAATAGTGAAATGGCTAATCTAACTATAAAGTTACCTTAATTTACCAATGGTTGGAAACTACCAATTTAACTCCAACTATTTTACTCACCAGTGGTGAGATTTTTCCTAGTTAAAAAAAAGGACTGACCGAACTACAGAGTTATCTTAATTTGCCAATAGTTGGGAGCAATCGGCTTAACTCAGGTTATATTACTCAGATGTGGTAGAGTTTTGGTTGATAAAAAACAAATATTTTAGATGGGACTGTAAATGTTTGTGACGCACTACAACATTTAGTTAAGTACTGGAATTACTTGAGTACGAAGTTGTGCACAAGTAAGTGAAACGATAATGAAACTTGAGCTGTTTTTGCACCGTATTTTTATTGAAGTAATCTCTTGTGACGAATACCTTTTTGAAATACTATGCAGTAAAATACTTTTATAAGTTGAGGGTACTTGTAATGAGTTACCTGATGATGACAAAACCTTGTCGAAACGCTGTACATTTGCTGTTATGTTAAACTTATATTAAAGTTTTTCTTCATTACCCATTCAAGCCGTCTCCAAGCATTATTGTAATGAATTAGTTTGAAGATTATTTG